CCCCCCCCCCCCCCCAATTCCTTCCAAAGTAGTTCTGTAACAGGGTCTGTAAAAAACAGCAAAAAGCAAAAACGCAAGAATGACCACACTGACACCAGTGACATGCAAGACAGCTATGTAAACCATAATCCTCATCTTTTAACTGTCAAAGTCTCGTGTTGCCAACTGGAGTGTTCAACATAAATAAGGTTGCATACCTGAAATCAAATTCTCTGAGTTCACTGATCAGGTTCACAGTGTTGTGCCTCCTAAAACCTTTAAAAGCAATTGTACTAATCTGGGCCTCATGCTGCAGAGTACCCAACTTCCATCCATTCCCCTGCTTCTCTTGGGAGTCTCCTCTAGGCAGGCAGACGGCCAAGAAACTCTGTGAGGGGATGGAGAAAGGATCCGTGAAGGCAGGCAATTCTGAGAAATCAAGTTATAGGTATGCAATCTTATTTTTCTCTCTTAAATTGCTCCTTCTACTGACGACCAGGATAGAGAGCAGCAATTACCAAAAAAAAAAAGGCCAAAGTAAAGATGTGCAGATATGGCAACATTAAGGAATTTCAGGTGATTATTTTTTTTCTAATTTATTTAATAAAAGGACAAAAAGAGCAGGTAATAAGAAGTGCCACGGGCAGGAGAGAGTTATCTTTCTTACATATCTGCAAGTTCATTTTAATTAAATACTACTTTGGGTTCGCTGAAGAGAAATTGATGTCATATTTCCAGTTTCAAAGACCATCCCTGCCTACAGAAGGCAGTTTTAAGTCAAGTAAATGGTCCAGATAACCCATTAGCCTGTTTCAATACATACACTAAAATCAGGACACTAGCTTGCAATAGATACCTGAGTGTATAAACAAACAGAATACTGCAGTAGCCTCTGATGATTTGCAGCTCAGAGAACTCCTGAGCTAGATAAAGTGTCTTTGCAGGTAACAGTCCTCAAGTATTTCTCCTTCATGAGTAAGCCCACTTTCCCCATAAACCCAGGCAAGTGTCCACAATAATCTGTGACAAACATCCATGGCTAAATTATCTTTAGACGGGTTTTGAATTTGCTACCTGCATAGTTTCATTTGTCAGTCCGTAGTTCTAGGCTGGAAGAAATGGGAAAATATCGTTGCTTATTCATTTTTAATTTATCCCTGATGATTTTTCTGACACCTACCATATTCTAGTCATTTTTAACCCCATCACACCCCTGTCCAATTTTAAGAGCGTGAAAAGCACTATTCCACTTTGCTGTTCTTCATACAGAAGTTGTTCCATGCCTTTGATTATCGCTGTCTCTTTTTCTCAACCTCATTGTTGTTCTAAACCTTGAAAATGTGTAACTACACAACTACAGATCTGAGTCTGTGATACACCCACATCTTGAATACAATGTCTTCTGTTTCCTTGTTTACTCTTTTCTTAGTACTCTGCAACAATCTATTTCCTATTTGCTGCTATTAAGCAAGAGGACAATATTTTCCATAATCTGCTTAACTATAGCCCCAGATCTATTATTGAGTGGTAACAGCCACAACAGAGGCCATCATTTTATGTTTAAAGTTATGTTTTCCCTCAATCACATCAGTTTATGTTGCACCACCTGGTAGATTATTGCCAAGAGTCTCAATCTTATAAGATCCTTCTGCAATCCATCACAACTTTGTTTTTAACAATCCAAATAATTTGATATTATCAGCAAGCTTTGGCAGACCATTATTTATCTTCTGTGCAAATAAGTGAATGTGCTAAGAAATACAATGCCCAGCACATATTCTTGTGAGACTTCATCAGTGATTGAAAAATTGAAAAATCAACTGTTCCGTCTTTCTTTCTTATCCTCTAACTAGTTATTAACCTAACCGAGGACCTTCTCTTATCTCACGGTTCACTTTGATGGACTTCATTGAAAATCCAAGATCTTATCTACGGGATCTTCCTTCAAAGAACTTTAATAGATTAATAAGACATGAGTGCCCTTTATATGAGCAAAACTTAGTTTTTCTCCAGTGTGACAAAAGAACATGTCCCAAAGAAATTTATTGTACCTTCTATTATTTTATCTAGAATATACATCATTCTGCTACAATACTCTAGAGAAGTATAAAAACATAACAAGAATTGATTTACATGGAAATTGAAAACCACAGATGAGAGACACTCAGAAGCCTAGTGCTGCACGTAACAGTCATTAACCTGGCAGTAGGTGTTACAGGTTTATCCTACCAAATTAGTTTCACATCAGACTCCCTGAATTTATAATGGCATTCTTTGACTTGCCATGGGATACAATAAATTAGTCTAGGGTTTCCTCTGAGATTATCACCAAATCCAGTGGCAGAGCTTGAGTTCCAACCTCACTTATACCGGTCAGGTCAGTGCAAAGCCAGTGGGAATTATTCAGTATATAAGGGATCTACAGACTTCTGAAAATATTCACACACTACCAATCCATTATACTCTTACCTATCAGACAGCCAAGTGAAGTTTTCCATGTCAACCTTAGAAACAGATTGAATTCACAGCTAAAGACTCTAATTGCAAAAGGCATAAGCAAGAAGAAACCTTATCGTGGTAGCCTAAGGACATTTAGGAAACTAAACTAAACAAGGCCAGGTCATAGTTGTCTGGTCACACCTGGATCTGCGTGACCATCTGCATGAGTGGTCTAGATCACGCCTTAGCTGCTGGATCTAATTTCAGGGTTGGTCCTGCATCGATCAAGAAGCTGAGCCAAGGGCTCCAAGGATACCTTCCTACCCTAAGTCTTTCTGTGACTCCATTGAGCTGCGAGCATCTCTCTTTCTCAGCATGTTACTGGGCTCTACTAATGGCTTTGGCCTGTTGTGTTCCAGACAACCCCTGGATGCAGTCTGTGGGACTACGTGGGTCATGAACCGGTTCTGATAAGGCAGCATGATTGCCAGTATACTGTTTTGGAGGCAAAGTAGCTTTAGCCATATGGATATGAGCTCTGCTGGGAGACTTGCTGAGCCACAGACCATGCTGTGACAGATTTTATTCACAAATGTACATGTAGTTTTAGTGACTCCTTTGAAATCATAGTATCTGAAAAAAAAACAAACTTACAATGTGAAGTTTGTGTCTGAAAAGAATATATGTTACAGGGATTTTGTAAGCCATTTCTTGTCTTAACTAGTACTTCACATTTCAAAATGTTAAATAAAACACTGTCTAATTAGTCCTCATAATACTTTATGAGGAAAAAAAAAAAATCACAAGTGGAGGGCATTTGAAGAGAAAGCACCAAATTGACACAGCATATGTGTTTTATGATTTTGGAAACGTCTCCAATAAGGTCTCTGTGACAGACCTACAATTGGGACCCCAGAGTTCTTGGCTCCCAATTAAAACTTACTTCCCTGTCAAAAAAATGTAACTCCCTTACAAACTGACACCAATTTTGCAAATTAGTCATGTTAAATGTGACCAGAAAAGTAAACTGTTCATTGTTAGACTAACTTTTAACTCTAGTGACACTTTTCTGTTATTAAAAAAAATACATTCAAAAATTTTACAGACAGAAAGTGGAGTTCTCTAATCCCAATCAATTTATGATATGACAGAACTTATTAGCTAAAAAATTAAGTTGGAAGACTATTTCTGACCAGCTATTTACTGTGTAAGTATTAGAAGTTGTTTACAGAAGTATTGTATGATAATGTACTTTCCTTACCCCATTTTCGTTTTGTGAAATAGGCATCAGCACTAGGGTCATTGAAGTGTCTGCTCATCATAGTCTCTCCACCAGCGTGAAAATCATATGCAAACACAAGAGCTTAAAAATAGAAACATGTGACAATTACTAACTCAAGCATATTTAGAAAAAAGTCTCAACACATCACAGTTGGAAAAAAAAAATCCAAAAACTTACAATGTTCTCCAAACGCTTTAGTGGTAAACACTTCACGCAAGGTTACTATATTTGAGTGCTGAATTTTTTTCCACATGTCAACCAATACCATGCACTTTGTGTTAACAAGACGAAAACCTAGAAAAGAACAAAACCCATGGTTTAAAAATGTAATGTTTTAGAGGAGAATTTTTTACTTTAACATTTCTTCAGAAACTACTGAAAAGCAACCAGACATTAACAATATGACTAGCATGCTTAGGAATGCAAGCCTTGTTGAGACAACTCAATTTTTCTCACCATGTATCCTCCGAAGGCAATATGGCAGATCATCTTTACTATTTACAGCTTTATAACATGACGTAATGTACCCAAAGTTGCTTGTTTTCTGTATCCGATTGGGCGGTGGCAGTGGTTCCAAAGGAAAGAGACTGTGGTAGCTGTCCACTTCTGCAGGAACCGCTACAATCAGTTTATACACAGAAACATATTAGGTGCCAGCTGACTTTGAGAAAATTATCACAGTAGCAGAGAAAATTAAAATGGCTGTCATTAATACATAAATTCTTTTTTAGGTGCATGTAAAGTTGAAATCCACTGGTTTTGCTTTAATATCAATACATAGGTTCCTGGAAAAGATTCCACAGAGCTAAAATGTTTTCAGAAAAACAGCTACACCAAGTAAAATCAACAGAATAGATGCAAAGTTCCATCCATTTGCCTTAAAAATTGACCCTTCTGAATGATGTTTCTTTGGTGTTTTTTTTCCTGCACAGATTCATAAATAAGCAGCAATTTCCATACAGACTTCATACCACTAAGAATCCTGTTTTCATCACAAAAAAGCAAATCTCAATCTTAAGTGTTTTAATGTACAAGTTTAGAAAACAGAGACAGCGGTGCTGAAGGTTAACAAATCAGATTAAGAGATTAAATTTGCAAGAAGATGGTACTTCATCTAGATTAGTAAAATAAACTGCTTTTTTATTTCACTGTATCATTAACATATTAAACACACATTTGAGAAGGATACTACAATCAAAAAAAGCTATCTGTTTAAATCAAGTTGAACACAGTCAATCGTAAATTCTCCAAAAGCCAAATTACAATGATTAGTATATGCTTCTCTTGCCTAACTACTAGTGGAAAGCTTTCTCTGGTATACCAGCCAATACACTTTAAAACAATCGCACTTGCTAGCTTATATATAGCCTTTGAAAATATATGCATCCTTTAAAGGAATACCTAATATGTACAAAGTAATACAACACTGTTCTCCATAAGATCTTATTGCCTTAAGGATTTTTCCTTTCCCAGCAATTTTAAGTACTCCCAACCACTAAAGAGTTTCAAAACAGAAGAAAAGTGCAGAAGAAAAAGAGAACAGAAGCAAGAAATAAAATTGATATTTCTGAAATCTGGTTATCCACAGGCTAGGCTGATGATCACAGCTTCAGAAAAGATTAAGAACAGGTGCTGGTTTTTGCAAGATGTTTTAATATTGCTGAATATGCATGGCTGCAGAACAACATGATCACAGTTTAGTTTTTAAGAAACACTTACTTACCAGGAATATCAGCCTGATCAATCTGGGCCATAGTTATTAAGTGTCTGTTGATCAGTTCCTGAAGAACAAGTTTTGGACATTATAATTCAGCTCATCATTTTTGGTAAGCGACACTGAACAAATGAACAGTACACTATTTTTGAAGTACCAGCTACTTGTACTAAAATAGGGAGTTGATGCAAGTGTCTGAGGTGGGGAGGATGACAGGGAGAAAACCACTAGCTTGAAAATGCTAATAACAATATATAAATTCTTGAAGTAAGGAGCTGCAGAAGACACACTAGCTAGAACGAGCAGACGTAACTACTACAGTAAAGCTGAAATAAATAACAGTCAGCCCTCAGAGAAGGGTTCATCAACTAACACCTCCATATATTTCAATTTTAGAGAAAGACTTTAGAACTGGATAGGATTACATCTTAAAGGAATGCTATATAAATGAAGTCACACACACAAAAACAATACATGAGAAGTAAGAATACTTAACTGAATCATGGCATGCAGATTAGATTGGAGGCACATATGTTGTAACGCGTCCCCACCCTCTGTTGTACTCCATCCACTACAGAACTTGATTTTTTTAAATTCTCCACAGGGAAAACTGACTGCATAGATTTTGAGTGGCTAATTCTCCTCTACTATTAGAAATTTTCTAGTTTTTGCTAAGGCATGTGATTTTCCTTTAAATTCTCTATCAGCTTACCTGTCTGAGCTCATCTGCCATGAAGAAGGAAGGTGCATTTGCTTTTGGCTGCATGTAAGCGACATGAGGTGCAGCTGGATGGTAAATGTGGTAGTTTGGAAATACCTGAAAGCAAAACATTTTAAGCAGTTTAAAATCCTTAATGATAAGGAAAACAAGGAGTTTTGTCACGCTTTTAGTTTGAACTACGAAGTCTTCATGCACAGTACATGTTACAAATAATGTCAGATACATTACAATTTCCTTATGCAATATTCACTACTAATGATTCCAAGGGGGGGTGTGTATGTAGGTACATAGTTATTTTAACATTTTTGTAAATGCCTTTTCCCCTCCACTGTAAGAGTTATTCAACCTATCATAAAAAACCCCAACAACCTGAATTTTTGATGTTTTCTCATTATATATGTATCCACTGAGACATACATAAAATGCTTTCTTTCTATTTCAGTATAAAAACAACCCCAAAAAGTCTACATAGAGGTACCAGAAAAATACATTAAAAATTCTCTGATCCTAAATTTCAGTGATTTTGGAGAACAATTACAACAAATAAAACAGAATAAAGGTTTCAGAGAATTAAGAATAATCTCTGTAGTACCAACCAATTTGGCATTTGGAACCTTCGCACACTTTTGTATCGAAAGCAAACCTACCATTCCTGTGACAGGTGCTGGAGTTGTATCAGTGTAGAAGTACGTTGTTCCACCCACTGTTTCCTTCTGGATCACCTGGCCAGTAGATGGAGGCTGAGAGACAGCACTAGCGACAGAAGCAGAGGCACTAGTAGGCACCATATAGTTTGCTGGGTTAGGAGTATGACTTCTTCTTCGAGGAGCAGGAGATGTATGAGGAGTTATTTTGGGGGAATGAAGAGGAGAAGATCCTGCTGACAGTGACATTCCTTAAAGAAACACAAGAAGATATTCTTGATTAAATCTGTCATCCCCCCCAAAAAATTAGCAATTTGAAAAAAAAGAAAGACCAGCCTTCACTACCAATAATATTCTGAGCAGGTGAGATACTTAAGGGTTGCTACATCTATATGAAGAGTTAAAAGGTAAAACATTAAGAGCAAGACTGAACAGACATTTTCCCAAAAAATCTTTGCTTAGTTCAGAGAGAAAGGGCTTGTGAACTTATGATCTATGCATGAAGAACTGGAATGAAAGACATAGAATTAGCAGAAAGTGTGGGACAAAACCAATTAACGCTGTGTCTAGAACAGAGTTTACTAAATAGCAAAAAGATAAAATATAACAATCATAGAATTGTTTTGGTTGGAAGAGACCTTTAAGATCACCAAGTCCAACCGTTACCCTAGCACTGCCAAATTACCACTAACCCATGTCCCTCAGCACTACATCTACACATCTGTTAAATACTTCCGGGAATGCCAACTCCATCACTTCCCTGTGCAGCCTGTTCCAGTGCCTGACAATCCTTTCAGTGAAGAATTTATTCTTAATATCATCCTAAACCTCCCCTGGCACAACTTGAGGCCATTTTCTCTTGTTCTATCATATGTTATTTGGGAGAAGAGACCGATACCCACCTCTCTACACCTCTCCTTTCAGGTAGTTGTAGAGAGCAATAAGGTCTCCCCTCAGCCTCCTTTTCTCCAAGCTAAACAGCTCCAGTTCCCTCAGCCGCTCCTCATAAGACTTGTTCTCCAGACCCTTCACCAGCTTCATTGCCCTTCTCTGGACACACTCCAGCACCTCAACAACTTGCAGTGGGGGGCCCAAAACTGGACACAGTACTGAAGGTGTGGCCTTACCAGTGCCGAGTACACTGGGACAATCACTCCCCTACTCCTGCTGGCCACACTGTTCCTGATACAGGCCAGGATGCTGTTGGTCTTCTTGGCCACACTGCTGGCTCATGTTCAGCGGACAGTCAACTAACACCCTCAGGTCCTTTTCTGCCAGGCAGCTCTCCAGCCACTCTTCCCTGAGGCTGTAGCACTGCATGGGGCTGTTGTGACCCAAGTGCAGGACTTGGCCTTGTTGAACCTCATCCCATTGGCCTCGGCCAATCCAGCCAGCCTGCCCAGATCCCTCTGCAAAGCCTTTCTACCCTCAAGCAGTTCGACACTTGCACCCAACTTGGTGTTGTCTGTGAACTTGCTCATTCCCCTCATCCAGGTTGTTGATAACAATATTAAACAGAACTGGCCCTGATATTGAGACTTGGGGAACACCACCTGTGGCTGGTTGCCAACTGGATTTAACTCCATTCATTGCAACTCACTGGGCTTGGCCATCCAGTCAGTTTTTTACCCAGCAAAGAGTACGCCCATCAAAGCCACGGGCAGCCAGTTTCTCCAGGAGAATGCTGTGGGAAACCATATCAAAGGCTTTACCAAAGTCTAGGTAGATAACATCCACAGCCTTCCCCTCGTCCACTAAGAGGGTAGAAAGTGGCTTGGTCAGTAGATCCACCAGCTCCCTCAGTACCCTTGGGTGGACCCCACCTCACCCCATAGACTTCTGTGCATCTAAGTGGTGTAGCACCTCGCCAACCACTTCCTCTTGGAGTATGGGGAGGTTCATTCTGCTCCCCATCTCTGTTGCCCCTCGTCCACTAAGAGGGTAGAAAGTGGCTTGGTCAGTAGATCCACCAGCTCCCTCAGTACCCTTGGGTGGACCCCACCTCACCCCATAGACTTCTGTGCATCTAAGTGGTGTAGCACCTCGCCAACCACTTCCTCTTGGAGTATGGGGAGGTTCATTCTGCTCCCCATCTCTGTTGTCCAGCTCAGGGGGCTGGGTACCCAGAGAACCTGTCTTGCTATTAAAGACTGAGAGAAAGGTAGCATTAAGTACTTCAGCCTTTTCCTCATCCTTGGTCACTATGTTTCCCCTTGCATCCAATAAAGGATGGAGATGGGCTTCGGCCCTTCTCATTTTCTCCCTGCGTAGCCTCATGAAATCTTTGTAGTTTTCCTGAGTGGCCTGGCCCTTCTTCCATAGGCTGTAAACTTTCCTTTTCTTCCTGAGTTCCAGTCAAAGTTCGTGGTTTAGCCAGGCCAGTCTTCTTCCCCGCCAGCTTGTCTTAGAGCACATGGGGACAGCCAGCTCCTGCACCTTTAAGATTTCCTTCTTGAAGAATGTTCAGCCTTCCCAGACTCCTTTGCCCTTCAGGACTGCCTCCCAAGGGACTCTGTCATCCAATCTCCTAAACCGGTCAAAGTCTGTCCTCTGGAATTCCAAGATGGCAGCTCTACTAACCCTCCTTCCTTACTTTCTAAGAACTGAAAACTCTACAAATTTCATGATCACTATACTCAACATAGCCTCCAACCTTCCCACTTCACATCACCCCCAAGTCCTTTTCTGTTAATTTAATGACTACATAAGTGAATGTTGATGTAACAGTTACATGAGCAGTCCATGGAGTTTGCCAAGCTGTAACTCACTTCACCTAATTATGCGTGTACCCGTTACTAGAACCAACTCCACAGCTATGAATGAGTATTAGAGTTAGATCTCCAGTAACTACAGCACACAAATAAGCTATATCAATATGCTACTTTTAATAATCTCAAGGGAGAAATTATCTATTTTCCTATAATTGTTTTCAAATTTATTTAAAATTGTTTCATTGACTGGTGTTCACCCTCAACACTAGACGGACAACTTAACTGAAACTCAAGAAGCTCAGCTCCTAAACAAAGTGCACCAGCAGGGAAAAACAGGGGCAACTTTTTTTGCACACACACTTTTTATTTATTAAAACCTAGTTTAGTTACTTCAAGAGTCATTGTACACAGAAATCTCAGATATGCTAACTTATAAAAATTTAGATGTCACAGAAACCTTCCAGGGTGAGGAAGAGACTATCCTTCAGAAAACTCCTGGTATTATGGGAAGATTCTAGTTATTCAGGTTAATACAAAGGAGATAATCTATGAAACATACTGTTGCTCAGTTCAGATTGGGACATATTTTCTCTTCTTTAACAGTCAGAATTATATTAGTCATACTAAATCCGTTTTTTTGAAAGGATATAAGATACACCACTTTTACATTTAATGCCCAATGGACAGCTGAGAATTCTTATCTAATTGAGAATTCAGTTAGCACTCAGACATTTGCTTACATTACTTCCATTTATAAACTCTGGTAACTACAGCTTATAAACAGAAGTAATTTAAAGCAAGTATCTAAGCAATAAAAAAAAAGAGCAACTTTTTCCACATACACACTTTTTTGTTAGCAAAAGCCAGTTTAGTTACTTCAATCAGGAGTTACTGTATGCAGAGTTCTCACTATGCATCATCGGTAAAGTGTAGGAGTGTTTTTACACTCGTGTCTTGTATCTGCAGAAGTCACATTCCTCCTACATTTATTTTTTTTATTTTTTTAAACAAACCACAAAAGAGAACAGCAATTTTTGTATTAACAGGAGTTGAGGAAAAAATATTTTGTAGCTGTATCATCCTAATAATATTAACAGAATGTTTTTACTCTTTCACTTAGCCTGAATTGTGTATTTTTTTTACATCTCAAAAACTATGTGTGCTAATTCAGCACAATTATTTCTTTTGTGCTTGAAAAGTGAATAGTTCCAGCAAAACAAACAAGATTTTTTAATGTAAACCATAAGAAAATCTTACACCTTCCTCTTCAGTCATTTATTCTTTTTATAAAATATAAAAATATGAAGTCTACACTGTTCTGGGCCAGAACTTTTCTTTATATTAATACATATACATGTGTGTGCACGCACATCTTATAGACAAGCAATATTGTGGAATTACTGCTTGCTGATTAGTCTATTACCTTAATAAAATGTGAATTATATAATAGGCACTTCTGAATGTTTAATTTTTAAAATACTTCTGAATGTAACGTAATTAGTCTCCTAAAAAATTGTTTACAAATCAACTGCATGACAATAAATGTTACATGTTGTGAAAGAAGCAGTTCACACTGCAAAAGAAAGCTTCCATTGAGGTAAAAGTTGCTTTGAGTGACTGAGTAACACTTAAATATTTCAACAGATACTGTATAGATGGTTACATTTTTAACAAAAGACTAAAACATGAATGCATTCTTAATCCACTGTGCGAAAAGAGCAATTTCAAATGAAATAATATATTACTATTAAATTTGAAGGATGGCTAATTAAAATGGCCATAAAATTGAAGCAGCCCTACAATTTGTGTCTATGATGTTCAAGCGATTCTCTTCATCTAGGGAAAGTTATTGACATGTCTTTTTCACTCTACTCCAATAAAACATAATATTAACTGGTCTTTACAAGCACGCAATCTCTACCTGGATAGAAATAACCAAATTCAAGAAACTTTTTCTTTTTTTACAATAAAACACTCAACTGTAGGAACTAGGAAAAAACCCAGCAGCCTTCACATACACTAATGAAAAATTAACTGAACACTTCTCTATTTTAAAATAAAAACTGTATACGTACAAGTTACAGTACACTGTAAATCATGGCTTAAAAATGAAAGTGATGGTTGCAACCTTGCTAAAATGATATTGCAACCTTCTACTGAAACTTTCTCGGAAAAAAAATTAGATTTATCACTAATGGTTCTTACTGATACAGTTCCAAACAATTTCTACTGTAAGATTTACTTTTTAAAAAATTTATTCCTGCCAAAGAATAGTTACAAATATAAATCCTTGATGTCTTTGCTTGGGCATTAATGCCAGATTAAAAGCAAAGGAAGATATTCAGAGTAACACCAATCCTTTCAAACGTCCTTCCAGTCTCAGTCAGGTCTGAATTTGGAAGGACATTGAGAGCTCAGTGAAAATCATCTATCTGGTGGGCAGAACATATGGGCTTCTCATTTACCAATATATATAATGTAAGTCTAGATATGGAAAAAGTTTGACTACAGTCAAACAGTGGGTACCAATAGGCTGAGGCAGCAAATACTGAAGGTGATAGATTCTTTTGAGAGACTTGTATTAAATTCTTCTGAATCTAAGTAAATATTAGAAGTCAAATATCACATAAAAAAGGAAAAAACTTTCGAATACAGTGAAAATGATTGAAGATGTCACCAACTTCATTAGTATTTCAATCAGTTAAAACCTTACAAGTATTAATATTTAACCACAACAAAATAGAATTAAGAGGAAAATAAAGAAAAATGGCTATATTAAAAAGGTGAACATATATTCCTACTGACTCATACTGAAGGAAAAAGATCATACTGAACATATGATGGTAACAATGTTATGAATATGGAACCACCCCTCATAGAATTAGACAAGCTTTTTTCTAGCTGTTTATATAAACATATATCCACTTTAAGGCTTAATAAAAAAATGAGATTTGAATAATCTTTTTACAATTTATTTATATATATAAACATTATTATAAATTTATATAAATATCTATAAAATGGGAAGAGGGGTGTCAAGATCACTGGTATGAGACAGAGAGAGCTCTCATTTTAAGCTTTCCCTTTAAGACTTGAGCACTTCCCTGCATTAAAATTCAAATGCCAACAGGAGTACTAAGACAAACACAAAAAAGCCCACTTCAAATTGTCTTTCCTAAACTTATCTACTAGCAAAGGTGGCTCCCCATTCCTCGTCTCTGTGAATTTTAATACCCTCCATGAAGAGGTCAAATACTATCTTGAAAGGTAAACTGAAAGGAGAAAGGGCTTCTTTCACTTCACAATTATTTACTTCTAAAAAAAGGTGTCATGGCATGACACCAACACAGAACTGCTTGCAGGATTTGAATGTCTTTTCACAACATTCACAGTGACTGTACAGACTACCTACACATACCTGGAACACCTGCTGTTATTCTCATTTTAGGTAGAGAGAAAGATCATATTTAAATATCCCTCTTCATTGTCATATTTTCACTTCTTGCATTGTTTTTTACTTTTGAAGTCTCATTGTGACTGAGGAAAGGGAAGTGGTAGACTTTGAAATTCAAGACAGCGCCCAAAGGTATTTTATAAGATCAACACTTCTAATAAAGCTTTGTAGCACGTAATGCATTTGAATTAAAAGCTAAGTTGTATTTTGAATGTGAGAATTCATACAGATAAACACGATCAAAAAAGGGCATCAATCATGAACTTTCATTAAGGACTCAGTGTCTACAGTTTTTGCCTACAGTTTTTGGATTCAGTAAGAGTTTACAACTTAGCAAAGCAGGATTTTATTAAGCTCATGTGTATGCAAGTCAGCTGGCCTACAACATTAATACTTTTAAAAAAATCTGCAAGTTTTGCATACAAATTTACTTACCTACAACCATATCCCTGTGCCTCTATGGCTTGTAACACATTCAGAGGTCAAAAATTAAGCATCTATTATTTTATCCCCTTAATGTTCTGTACTTTGGAGATACTTTAGGCTACTAGGTAAATTTTGGGGAATGACAAATCAAAATAAATAATAAAACCAGACTATTTCAAGAACTTAAAGCAGCATCCTTAAATTAATTAAATATTTCTTTTTATTACAAGCTTTCTATCAGGTCATCAGCATTGTAGCTGTGCATTTCCAAGTTAATTAAATCTACTTAATTGCCTAAACAACTTTAGAAGTCATCAGTTCCTCCTCCTCAATTTTATTTGGGAAAAAAAAAAAAACAACTAATTTTACAGTCCCTTTGACTTCTTCCTTTCTTGTATTCTTCCAGAACGACTGTGGAACTTCCTCCACAGAATGGCTGCACCACATTTGATGGTGTCAGGAGGTCAGAACGAGCTCTTCGGCTACTCAAACCACCTCAGCTGAAAGTGCTCTATTTCCAGCTGGGGTGATAAGCTCCAAGAATCATGTAACCCATCATAAATGGAGATGGGGCAACTAGGCACAAGCACATAACCTTCATGCTCCTGGCTCCTAAGCCTGCAGGTTCAGACTGGCAGCAGAAATGGGATCTCTTACATTCTGCATAAGGTCAGAGCCCGTCTTGGACTAAATATAGAAGCAACGGCAATTTGCTGTCGTTTCCATCGATGACGAAGGCATCACTCTTGAGCTATAACCCAGCCTAAGCAAATCCAAGCCAGACAGATTTTCTCTGCTGGGGGATATACATCTGTTTTCTCTCAAGTTTAACACAGCAATAATGTCCTATCACTTTGATGACATTCATTAATTTCTTTCATATGCTTTGTTACATATTTTAATGGCGATATTACTCTGAAGCCGCTACACAGAAGTGGATAAGCTGAGCCTGTTAGCAAAACTACTATTTGAAAATTGTCAACAACTCACTAAATTTCCCATACAAATTATAAACAGCATGTGTTTGCTAGAAAGGGAATAGAAGGAGCAAAATCTTTCTCCAACTATTTGCATAAGTCACATTTTATCTCACTATGTTTTCATATTGTATTAAAGGCTACTGAGATGAAAACTGACTCTATTGAAATTATGCTAGAAAGCACTTATCTAAGTAAATACACATAAAAGTCGGAGTAAACTTCATGTCAGGTGTGGAGACAACAAGTTTAATACTAAAGTATGGTCGGTTTCAGTTATCATTTTTTTCCAGTACTGCTGATAAGACAAGCAGAACAAATTTTTTCCACGGACGACCAATTTTGTGAACAGTTATCTATGAAATACTAGATGTCAAAAGCGGTTTTGATTTACACCTACCTTTAGGGATATCTCAGAAATTAGAGATGTAAAAGAACTTAAGTTTTTTCCAAAATCAAAGGATCCTTCTCATCATTTACCTGTTTTGTTATGGGTGAACTAGACTATGGAACTTTTAGCAAATTATTCCTACTATGTTTCCTTATTTCTTATGAAATATTGATTTCCTCCAGTTTCTTTTGTAAGCTACTATAAGCAATCTTAATCTCATGCAAATGTTTAAATTTTACATACATTTCCTGAAAGTTATTCTACTGGAGAATACATAGCATTTAACTGGAAATAGACTTATCTTTATTTAAAGGAAAAATCTTATTAACTCTTTATCTGGGTTTCATTTGAATTTTTTTCATCTGTTGAAAGCTAACGGATCCTAACAACAATTTTTAATGACAATTTCATAACATACTTAAATCTTTTTTTTTTTTTATATTCTGTTATCCGGTATGGCCTAAATGGTCAAGTTTCCCCACACATAAATACTGCTTTCTTATTGGAGAACCTATTTGTGTGGAAAGAGCACCTCCTAACTCACCTTGAGGTAACAGAAGTTTTTGTGGCTGTATACTACTGACAGCTAAACCATGTAAATAAAAATAAATGTCTATGAGTATTATTTACACAAGACATTTAGGTTCAGAAATTTCTGCACTCAGTATAGAGAAAGAAGCTTCTAGAGAAATTAAGAGCACCCAATCCAGATCCCTACTCTGAACTATATTCTCTTTTTAATTACACAGGAAGAGCAGGGAAACAAGATAACTTTGCCTAATGTTCTCTCTTGTGAACATTCCCCCATCCCTCTCATCCATACACAGTAATATTGGAACCTAGACAGTTTTCAGCATTGGCATCTATATTTCTAGGAGCTCAAGTTGTTGTACGAACTTCTTTCATCAACAGTGTTACTTATCCTTTCAAGTATTACTTACAGATAGTAAAGAAATTGGACTGTGAAGGATCCCTCTGAGATCCCACTGGACACTTTCCAAAAGTAGATCATTTTACTGTATTCTATTTACTCCTTTATACACTTTTCAATCCAGGTGACAAGGCTGAGAGGCATATAAACACAACAGTTTTCCAATAAGACTGTACAGTACAATACAGTATGAAGCAGACACAGTACTGCAACATGTTCATTTGGTCAGCAGAAGCAGCAATTGCTTTTCTAGCCTGTTCTGATAGTTCTAACATGCGAGCTAAGTACTGGCTTTTTTCACATCGACACTGAGATTTATCCCCTGGCATCTGGAAAGGCTAAAGTTCAGTTTAACAGATGGTAATTGCCAATACTGGTTTAAAATCCTCAGTATTTACAATATTTTCCCCTCTGCCTTTTGGCAGCTACCTAGTGCTTCTTGTCCATTGCAAGAGATTGTCAAAGGTTTAAGTATGTATAGAAACTTGCTAAAGGATCTGCAATGTGTAATATCCAGATCTGTTGATTGCTATATCTTATAACTGTTTAATTTAATTTAAGAAAAAAACTATTAGAATTAAGCTAACTTTTAAAGGTCAGAAGTCCAAAAGATGCATGAAAAGCTTGAACTTTTTAAGTGTTAAAAAAAAAAGTCTTGTCACTCAGAATTGTATAACTGCATGGAACACATTTCACTAAGAGCCTTAACATCTTGAAAGTGAGATTACACATGACAGATACAATAACAATTAACACTACTTTGCAAAGTAAATTATTCTAGAATTAGATTTTCTTCTACTTTTTGTTTTTCATTGAGATTTTTAAGTCCTCATAGATACTCATTAACATTGAAAATAATTACTTCTACATCAACGTGTAGTAATCAAAGCACATATTCACTGTAGACTGCAATGCATTTCTAGACAAGGGGTAGTTCAAATCATCTTCAGGTACTGCTCTGGCAAGGACTGCACAGAGCACAGTATGTAATAACTCAGCACCCCTTTTTCCCCAAAAAGGGCAGAGTAAAAAAGGCTGGGTTAATTTCAGTGCTGTTGTGGCTGAATAAATTTCACAGTCTCCAGTACTATTTCCAAACTACTAGAAGATAATTCCCAAGTTCCTGCACTTTTATATGCTTGAAGATTGCCTTAAAATTAAGAGCTAAAGCAGGAGGTGGCTACATTTGTACCAAATAAATCTGATTACTATCTACACAGTGGTTTATGTTTATCATTAAGTTAAAAGAAGCAACTGTACTGCACATCATCACTCTCGACTTACCTGGTGCTAGCCCAGCAGTAGCAGGACTTCCCATGGAGGGGTGAGAGAACAAGGCTTGAGAGAAGGCAGACATACTTGACTGGGATACATTACTCAGCCTGGAGGTTGATCCTCCTTTAGGAATAAATTCACTTGCAGAAGGATTTGGTGTCTGTTTGAAAACAAACATAAATTAAATGTTTACTTTTAATGCGAAGAGATGGACAGTGCCTATTTGCTAGAAAATACTTCCTAGGCAAGCCTACCGAGCGCAGGGATATGCTTAAGTTACATACAGCTTGCTGACAAGAACAGCAGATACTGGAAGCTGGTCTGCACCAACAAATTTACACACATTTATAGCTTACGTCTGAAGTAGCACTAGCAAGCTTTCTATGTGAACAGCTGATGTATGAGTTCATACAAACACTTTGCAAAAGGCTTTCCATAAGCATTACGTTATAAAATTGGAGAACAGGTTTGACACTGAGAAAGTCTCACTACTGCTGTGCAGACTGTTCCCATGGCATTTCAGAGATCCACCTCACAGTAAGTAGCAGTTTAAGCAGTAAAAATGACTCCTACTAAAGAAGTCATCCCTGTCTCTCTTTCCAATAGGCCTATATGTTCCTTTTTCGCAAAGTTAACTTCTGTTTTAACTACCTATTCCATTTACGTAGCAACTTTAATAATGAGGTTTAATTTGTAACTACAAATAGAAATAGTAGCAGGGTGACCATCAAACATTAATCTTTATTAGCACATAAAACATGTCACACAATCAACTTTCAATTTCTATTAAAATCTATGCAGAGTTTTGTAGGTTTGAGGTGGGGTTTTGCTGGGTTTTCTTTGGTTTTGGGGTAGGAAGGGCTAGAAAAAGAAAATCCTAATTAGAGCTCAAAAGGCAAAAAAGTATTACTGGACAGCCAAATACAAAAGACATTAGTGGAAGAAAAAAAGAAATTAAGCAAAGAAATAAAAACAATTATTACATGGACACACTGAAAACTTGAAAATTATTAACTGTCAAAGTTAAGTTTATTAAGTAATCTTCAGAGTACCTCTCAAAAGTGTCTAAACAAAAGTAGTAAAATGAGAAAATAGTAACAGCTCCCAATTGATAAAGGACACTGTTAAGATAATTCATAATGTTTTTTTAAGCAAATTATATTGGATCACTTTGGTTTTAGTCAGTTCTAAAATGACTAAATAATCAAGTTAGTTAAATTCCCAATATTGATTTTTATCAGTATGAATAAAGTGGCATCAGAGAATTTGATAGTTTCAAATTAGAAAAGAAGTGTGATTACAAAACACTCATTTAGACAATGAAGTGTTTGAAATGTATCTTTTGTGTTGTTTTTAATATCTTTATTTGAATACTTAAGCCAAATATCATCGTATTAATTTTCAAAGCACTGAAAAAAGGATTCTAAAAGCTGTAAAATTAAAGAGGATGCTCAGGTTTAAAAGCAAACACTAAGAATTTTCCACCTTTAGATCACACAGTAAATTTTACCTGCTAATGACCTTATGACGGTCATTCTACGCATGCATGTGTCTGAATATACAAAGAATAACTATAACCAAATATGTAGACTGGTGAAGTAAAACACTTAGATTTACACAGGTAAAGAGTTCATAAGATTGTTCTAACTCTTCAATCACATTTAGTTAAGGAAAACTTGCTAATGTATGCACTAATGCACCAAAACAAATAGTAAGTTGCATTATCAAATTGTAATACTCTGGATTTATGTGAATTTTAGGTACAGGAATAAGTAAGAGAATTGTATTCCTCTAGATAAAATGTGGCATGCAACAATTCAGTGAAATCTGCACTGAAACTGAAAAAAATATTATAGAGGTCGTAAAGAGCCGAGTACAATTTGTCCAAATAGTGATACAGCTGAGAAGTCATCATCAGACAAAACTGGGAGAGCAAAGGACAGAAGTTGTAGCATTTTGCTAAAAACACATAATTTCAAAGAATTACATGAGATCCACATTTTTCCACTACTAAAACTGGCCACGACACATACACTGATCTACCACACCTAAATACCGTGTCAACTAGGCGACAAGGGCAGGGCACGGCATAAAATCCAAAGCATGCAAGTGGAGAGGACAGGCACCTTCGGCAAGATAACCTCAGCCTTTCCTGAAGTAACTGAGAGAATTCCCAAAATCCCATCCATACCATTCGGGCTAAACTCTTACCACTTTCACCAAGTGATGCAATCAGTGCCTGCAGAACAGTGATGCTTTTTATTTCTAAATGCATTTCTGCACGGTTCACAGACCGGTTTTGGTTTCTAAAAGTTACTTAAATATCCATCAATTTTAAAATGAGGCTACTTAAGAACTCCACTTTAACTGGTGGAAGTTTTAGTTTATCCAAGAGAAAGAGCCAAATCCAGGAACCTGATAGAGCAGTTTGGGTTTATACTGTAGAATCACGAACAGCAGTGGGTCAAGCCTGATGGAAATTCAGTTTTCATTCCATTTTTTGGTGTCACAATTCACAATCAAGATTTAAAACAAAGCTTGATAAGACTGTGTTGTTCCTACATAACTTCCATGAAAGCACTTTATATGAGTAAAGAGCTTTGATTTGCAGAGTTAGGCCGTTTCCTATAAAAGTCTGGTTTACTCCTCTGTAACGTTACAAACATGAAGTCGTAACCCAAGACTTTCCCCATTGGTAAAAAGGTGATTTACATTTTGGTTCCAATTTTAAAAGAGCTTTCCATATTCAAGTTGTTTTGCAAATACAGAAAACTCCACAGCCATCAGCCAGAATAAGCTCATTATAAACTACTAAAAATGTAGCAATTTGTGTTCAAAGATATTTAACACTTCATGAGAAAATTTGAAGCTTAAACCTTTGCCACATTTAAGTACTTTACATCTACGTGAAGTGGCAGCCCTTAAAATGCTTCCAAAAGAGTGTAAGTTTTCATCTGAAGTAAAACGCTGATTTTTCTACAGACATTTTGCTTCTAAGAAAACGATACGAAACATATCTCAAACACCTTCATAGTATGCAGACCAGAGTAAGTGATTAGATGAGACTAAATGAGGGAATGGAATATCACTGTTAGTTCTTTAATATTTATTATTTTCATTATTTTTTTTCCACATTTTGTAGACAATATTCTGCACCAATGCTCATACAAATATACCAAAATTAGGAAGTCACATTCTTAATGGCCCAAGATTCCAAAAGTTATGTCCCTGGTTTGGAAAAACATCCTACCTTCACTCCGGCAACTCATTATACAAAGAATAAATTCTAGGGTTAGTTTCACATTTGTATAAATGGTAAATGTGTAAAATCTGCCTAAAAGAGGACTGTGCTTTAAATCCTATTAGGGCATTATTACAGTTTTTCTGTTAGAATCTTATCAAACTTCCCCAATGAGGTTGAGTTAAAAAAAAAAATTAAATTTTTATAAGAATTAAAAGAATCTATCTCTAATTAAGGAAAAATTTTATTCTTTCTGTATTATTCTTAAATTTCCTAAAAGCACAGCTTTAAAACAAATTTCACTTAAATAGTCATTAATTTCTCTTCTCAGAGTACAGTAACTTCTTCATGTTAGGCTAAGGTTAAAATTTTAAATCTGAGTAAATCAGGATTAGTAAAAAAGGTAGAGAAAACAGGAAATTGAAGGCTTTTATTAAATGTGGGGAGTAATGAAAATGGAGATGCAAGAAATACTTAGAGGGCATGTAATGAATTATGCAATATTGTGATGTTAAAACCAAAAGCAGCGAACGCACTTTCTAAAGCCCAAACAAGAAACACATAGCATTCTCTGTGCTATGCAATGAATTGAAGACTATATTTTCAAATGCAAGAGTCCTATAAAAAGGCACATAAAAAAACCTCTCAAAACATTAATTAATACGTTTTCAACAAACAGCATTAAACAGAAAGTACAGCTTCGTCAGCTATCCTATATTTTTCTAGAAACCCACCTAAAGTAGCTTCCAACTCATGCATTGGCTAAAATTACTACCATTCCTTTTTCCTCTCAACCTGGCCAGTTTAAATCTCATCCCCCTTCTTCAAGGATATTCATAAAAATACTGTCAAACTAAAGCAGGGAAGCAACTTCCCTAGGCATTATCTGAATTAATACCGGCATCATTAATTCTTACCAGAATGATTCCATGAGGAAACTTCACCAAAATACCCTCTTTTCAGACTCTATCTCTGTGCTCTCTCAAAGAGAGAAAAACTGAAAAACCATTCAAGGCTCCTTAAAGCAAGGTGCAGATGAAAGTAAAGAGCAAGCCAAGGACCTCAGCTGGGAAGACCACACAGCCGCATACAGCATTACTGTATGTTGAGGAGTTGCACCTATCAACACATTTCCATAGTCCAGAAGTAAGTCCTGTTTCATCAACTGTTGATTTCAATACATACGCTTTTTTCCTCTCTGTGCTCCTCAGTGACACACTCCTAAGGCCCCGCACATTCATTCCTAAGTGAAAGTGCTGCATTCACTTATAAATGACTCCTCAAAGTACCACGGAGTACTGAAGGATACGGTAACACGGGGATGCACAAGTTATGGAGCCGTTGGAAGGTCATGCAGGGAGCCCTCAGGACTACTGGAAACCCCGCTTCTCCCCCTCATTTCCAGCTCAGCATCTCACAACACAGAGCTGCACAGCGGAGGCAGAGCCACCACCTCTTGCTTTGGTGGCTGCAACACTACTGCATTAGATCAGTCCTGGTCCCACATTCTATCAAAGCCAGCTACCTCAAGCAAAAAGTAGGCCAATTTCATTTCATTTTGGATGAATATGCTTCTGTACTTACCATGCTAAAAACAGGATACAAGCCTTTTTGTTCGCTTTTTATGTTCTCCTTCACCTCCAAATTCATGCTGATCTGTTCTGACATCCCAAATTGCATAATCTTGTAATGGTTGCAGAAAACCACCACGGAACTATACCCATGCTATAAAGTGGGGCAGTCCTCTACCAGTCTATTTTTGGCATAGTCTTCAGAATATCTCTCAGGAATCCAAAAACATGCAGAAGTGTTGCTTGGTTTTGTGTGTGGCTACTTTTTTGCTGGTTTGGGGACTTCTGTGGTGTTGTTTTTAAATAGACAGATGTGCCATATGAGGAGCTTCACTTTATGTAGAGAGCGTTCACTGCAACCCCTCCGCTTCCAGGATTCCTTGTTAACTATGACATCAGGGAAGGACACACTCTGTGATGCTGGAGTAGCCCAGCAGACACTGGAGGTCACTAAGGGCTTCAAAGCAAGTCTCTTCCCTCCTCCTATTGAATTCATACAACATGCTTCCTTATTGCAATTACCATGCCAAGCCATCACATCACCCATACAACATTATTGGCCGTATTACTCTACTATTCCTTTAGAAGAAATAGACACAATTTCATTAATACCCATAATTAATGGGTAATATTTGTTGGCTAAAGACTTCTCTTTTAAACCAGAACACAGGCTCAGACAAATAAAACTACTAGCAAAGTTGTTACATTTTAGCAAGTAGATCTCACTAAAAAGTAAACTTTTAAAGCCTCAGATTATTTCCTCATTTCTCTATCAAAATACTTCAAAGTACTGTAAAAACTATAAAGTTTGGAAAGTCCATGTTCTTGATGCAAAATTTTTGAAAAAAATCATCTATACGTATTATTTTTTTGTTCAAGAGAAAAAAAATCAGTTATTCATGGTGCTTAAGAACTGATCTGTATAACAAAAAATGTATCCCTATTATTTTAAGCAGAATCACCATTATAATATGTATCATGCAGTGGTGTAGCTCATGTAATGACCTAATGTAAGGTGGGACATGTTAGTGAAGAACAAACTTTTGGTTTGTTTCTTCTTCTTTTCTAATGCACAACCCAGAACATAACTCTCTCTGTGGACTCCACTTTGAATCACATAAGTGTAATGTGGCATTTAAAGTAAATAGATCCGGATTATAAATTCACAGCCATGCACAAGAAATATTTAGACTGTTTTACAATGCATGTTGTAAACTACTTGGCTTTTTAAAACAGCCATTTTTTGGACAAAAATTTCTAAATATTGCACCATGAAACAGTGTATTCTCACATCTTATACCATATTTTTGGAAGAGTGGAGATTCAAATAGAATCATAGAATGGTTAGAGTTGGAAGGGACCTTAAAGATCATCGAGTCCCAACCCCCCTGCCATGGGCAGGGACACCTCCCACTAGACCAGGTTGCTCAAAGCCCCATCCAGCTTGGCTTGAACACCTCCAGGGATGAGGCATCTGCAGCTTCTCTGGGCAACCTGCTCTAGTGTCTCACCACCCTCACTGTAAAGAATTTCTTCCTGGTATCCAATCTAAATCTCCCCTCTTTCACTTTAAAACCATTGAGTCCTTATTCCCTCAGACACATAAGCTTCAACACCTGCACAGCATTGCAGGCTCTCAGCAATTTTGAGGGGTAATTTTACTTTCTTGTCTTCAAACATAAACGAAAAAGAGATCCCCTCAAACAGACATCCCTCCATCAAAATGTTACCTTTCTACTTATTGCTTAGTGCTCACCATCAGCCAAAATTTATTTTGTATAATCTATATTTACACATGCAAATATCTCTAAACAGGATTGCTACCTGTGGATTACATAGATACTGAATTAGAAAAACAAGGTTAATTTGAAATGTCAGCATGAAACTACCCATTTTTAAGTAGTTTCATGTACCAAACTTCTCCAGCCATTTTTTGTGCTTTTATGAATAAAATTTCCAGTTTTTAGCAGTTTGAGCTTTGTTTTAGTTCTTAGAAAATGTTCAGATTAGAATACAAAGATTTACAACAATCAGAATGAAAGCATCAAGATAAAATTCAGTTTCTCATCTATGTAGAACTTTACTTATCCTCAATCTCCTCTGCAGCCTGTTTTTACACCTTTCCCCATTCACTCTTGCCAGACTCAACTGTTCTCCGCAATCCCTCCCCTTTCTCCTATTTCCCATGGCTAGAACATCCTTCTGTTCTTATTTCCACCAGATATGCATATACATGCTTTTCTGAAGTCCCGTATCTCCATGGGAAGCTATGTAATTGCATCATGTAGTACAAAATCTTATGCTGTACACAGTTTAAGTCAATTATGTAGCTGGGATTCTGGCACAATAAAAGAGCTTGGAATTGCACCCTTCAAAAGCCACGTGCTCTGCAGTCAATCCCAAGCTATTGCCGCTAACCTTGAGGGGACCTTGAGCTTCTCATTGCCACACTTTCAACACAACTTTGGAAGGTGTAGGTACTGAAAAGACAATTGCTCCTGGCCAGAAGCTCCAGTCTCAGACTGCTAGCTCTCCAGCCTCCAGAAACATTACGGGGTTTTTGCTCTAAATGGATTAGATCAACAACAAACCTTGCTGCGACACAGAAGAGCAGAGAAACAATGGAGGACATGAGTACAAGCAGGGCTTTTCCTGTCCTTTAACATTAACATGAAATTTGAAGACCAATTTTCTGTTTCTCTTCTCAAAGCAACCATCTACTAATTAAGGTTTGCACTCCCCTTAGATACACATGGTAAATTCAATCCATCAGTCTTCTCTCCCTTGAGAGAAGTAGTGCTCCCCTGGCTCCAACCACTCCTCTGCAACCATGCCTGGTCCCTTCACCAATGTTTCCCTTCTGCTTCATCGTTACCACCCCAGTGGCTTTGCTGCTTCCCCTGCAGCAAAAGGGCCAAGACAGACTTAAGCACAAATGTCCCTATGCAATGTAGCATTGGTTTGGCCGCATCACGCTGCCCATGACTCCCAGCTTCAGGAACAAGACATCAAATGTGTACAGAAAGGCTCTTGTACGAGCTTCATGTTGGCCCTTACATGGCAGAAATTAAGTGAACTGAAAGAAGTTCTTAAGCTGCTACAAATTCTAGTTATAAGTCTATTGTCAATTTATCTATTTCATTCCCTTAGAAGACATCAAAATTAACGCAACCCTCACAGAGTCTAAAGTAACAGTCTCTGAAGAATCAAAAGCACTACACAAGTGCAAAACAGTAACAGCAGCAGTGTCGTAGTTATGACTACTGTAATAAATTCTGTCTAAGCCCCATTTAAGGAACATGGAGCAGATTCCTCCCAGACTAGAATTATCCTTCATTATCATCCCGAGGATAACCTGCTACTTCTGTATAGAAATGCTTGAATCCAGCTGTATCTCTCCCCTGTTAAGGAGCTGAAGAAAATTCAGGAATAAAGTAAAGTAACAATAAAGTTTAACAAACAAGTTGAGAAATGTAAATTATCCCAACATAAAAATTAAGAATTTACATTTTCTGATCATGGTGGTTATATCCTCAAATTCTGTACTAAGGGAATTTGCATTATGTTTCAATCATTTTAATGAAAATCACTAATTTTACCAGTAGAAACCTTCCTCACATGAAAATTAAAATAAAGGGTTCTGGTTTTTTGCTATTAGAATACATTCAATGATTACTTTTGCTCCTCCTCCACAGATTGTAACATAATCAAGCAAAGTACATAGCTAAGTGGTGGGTAAGCGAATAAAACACCTCTGAGTCACCCTCCTGGAGGGCCACTAAGCCCACTTTGTGAGATAAATATTTGACCTGATCTCAACCCATATTTGGAGTAACTGTTTCTAACATTTTCCAAAATTTAAAATAAAGCATCCAAAATACTGAAAAAGTGACTAGTAAAAAATAATTTTACCTGTAAATTGTTTTCTGTGACTCTGTTCCACCAAACCATATTGATGGGTACTCCTGTTTTACACCTGTCAGCCAGACAGCCGATAGGGTTCTTTGATTTTCTTGCTTTTGATCCCACCGGAACTATCCTCTCATCCAGCATCCCCAGTCGATACTTCCTGGGCTACGAAAAAGAAGGAGAGAAACCAGGCCACTCCTAACAACCCTCATCTAAAGCTACACTAAAATAGGTATTACATTGTGATATAATTTCTGGATTGGTGGAATAGGAAACAATTTGCAAGTAAAATTTATCTGAGACTGTTTCCTTTCAATCCTGACTATTTGGTTATAACAAATATTTTTTAAAAAACCACCAAACTTCAGGGATGACTAATTATTTGTAAGCAAAACTGTCCATCACCAGTCAGCCACTGAAATATGAGTATAAATTGGGGAATTCTGTAAAAATGAAAATTTATTTTTTTTTATAAAAGCTGTATTTCTCAAATAGATACCTTCAATCACACCATAATAATCAACATTTCCCTCGGGATTTGTGTCAAACAAGAAATTAACATTGGCTTTTGTATCCTTCTTTTTAAATTCAACTTTGCTGAGACAAATCTCCTGAAGACTTGCTTTTAAAAATCAGGTAGAACTGAGTAGCCAATTGTAGCAGAACTCAATGAGAAAAACATTTCTGCTCACATTAATATTCAAAAGACTAACTTCATCTACTATCTTAAGTGAAAACAGACAAGAACTAGTGGTATAAATGCATGAGAAACTGACTTAAACTTGACAAAATAAAACATGCTTGAGGAAGTGAACATGCAGGAGGAACTTGCACCTCAGTAGGAGTGACATTCCTTTTACATTGGCAATAATCTCTATAAATGAAAGTATTTATAAAGCATGATATTAACATTAAATTTAAAAAGCACATTGTAAAAAAAAAACTGTTAAAGACTTTCAAACAGGTAAAGTACAGAAGTTCTCCAGATTCCTCTATGCTTTCAAACTTATGTGTACTACCTAGGTAGTAAATATCACCAAAATAAATATTTCAGTATCTGTGCATATTTAGGCCAGGACTGTTTATATTGATTATATCAACTATTGGACCAATTTGCAGGGGTTGGTCTATTTTTCTTTTATTGTAGGTTTGGTGTTGATTTTTTTTGTTGGGGTTTTTTTTGGGTTTTTGTGTGTTTTTTTTTAAAGTGAAAATGCAGCTATCATGATCTGGATATAGACCACTTTTTAAATAATCAAAGCTTAACTTACCTTTATTCAGGTATCTACTTCATCTGGCATCTTAGAAATCTCAGCAATGTGTACCTTGCTATGCATTTTAAAAATCGTTCCTCATTAAACAAGGTGAGAATTCTAATTGGAGAAGATTCCCCACTCACACACAAGCAATTTGTAAGACACAGGACAAAACTACCATAAAATGGCTGCAAAAGCAAAACCTGAAGAGATTCCCTCTTCTACTTCCCTGAAAATTTTTAGGCCAAAAGCTTTGGAAAGAATTAAAACTGAGTAGTCACTAGCACCTCATTTGCCAAAAAACCCCACAAAACAAAACAAAAAACCCTAAACAAAACAAAACAACAAAAAAACCCCAAGGATACCAACACTGACTATGAAAGACAAAGGCAATAAACCCCATGAAGATCAAGTTAATCAATTTTAATAACAATAAACAAGACCTAATTTTGCCATACCAATTAGAAATTTGGTAAACTCTGTGATGGGTAGCACAAAGTCCTTCTACAGTTAAAATGCAAACTTAATCACGGTAAATCCAAATATTGGTTGCTTATTGGGAGAATTACTTCACTATTCAGCAACTTACCATCTTAGTAATTCGGAAGTACTATTAATACTGTTAATAGCTGTAAGGTCTGAGAAGTCAGACATACAAATAATGTTGGACTTCAGGGCAGGGTTAGAAGGCAGTATGCGTTTTCCTTAGTCTGGCCATTGGAAATAATAACGTAATGAAGAGTAACTGTTTCCCTGGAAGTTTCCCAGTCTTTCTCCATGTTGTATCAAGTGCAGGGGCCCAGCCTGCCTCAGACTACTGGGCTACAACCCAGTGTCCAAACACGTTCTTATTCATAAAGGGTATTTTTAATCCTCCGTAATAAAAGGTGACTTATAAATATTTTGAAAAGGGAGAACCAAAACAAAAAAGGAATGGAGCCAACATGGAGGGAGGTTATTTTGGTTACAATGAGATTCAGATTCCAGGCAGGAGAATGAAACCGCATTTTAAGCTTTATGAAGGACTATGGTGGGGGCCAGGGGAGGCAAAGAATGGTCCGTTCTATGCCATAAAGCAATATAGGGACAATATGAGTTCATATACCAGTTGTTCTGGGCCTACTGGTATGAAAAAATTGAACTAAAAAGAAGATGAGACTGAATTAAAATCTTATTTTCATTATCTACTATAAAACATCATCAGGGGATTACTAGGCCAGGACTTAATTGTTCAGACAGACATTAGAAGATGGGACATACAGTATTAACATTTGGAAATCAATTTTCAGGCTATTTGCATGAAAATAATTCTAAATTACACCTGTTTTCAATTAGAAAAATGGTATTTGATTCAGAAATCTGATCTGAGTTTACAGGAGACCAGAAAACACAGAAAAAAAGTGTCTGCCAAGAGGAGAAAGGGAAGATCAAACAGACTGAGCCATTTGAATAAGCCTATCAACTTTGCTACGTCCGTATGCTCTACCCAGAGCAGCAAATAAAGCAACAGAGACAGAATAGTGCATCTTGAAACAAGCAAGAACTCATCAACCACTGATCATTTCTGCACTACACTAATATATCTACCTAAAACACAAAGGCATGACAATCTGGACAAAGAAACCCAACTTCTTGGCTTGGGGACAATTTCTCTCGGATGATTACAAAAGTAATTGAATTTTTGCCTGCCTTTAAGTCTTTCTGCAAGGTAAAAAAACCTGTTCAGCCATACAGATGAAAGGATAATTCAACATACTGAACCTTTTTTTTTTTTTTAGGGAGGTGGCTAAAGCATTTAAATACTTCATAATCCTTTAGCAAGTATTTCTCAAACTAGGTTGCAACTCCCAATATGTTTATGAGTTCCAAATGAGTTGTGAAAGGTCAAAACCATCACAATTATTTTTAAATGGAAAAATATGGTTAAACTAAAATAATTAAAATGGAATCTAAGAAAAAGAAAAAAACAACAAAACCAAATTGTTACAAAGCTTTACTGGAAGAGTTTGGTTCCTCCTGGGCAAAGAAGTGAGATGCAGCAGTAATTACTGGCTGCAAATGTTTACAAGAGGTAGGGAACAGCTAACTACCTTTAATTGCTAGCAACAGCCTGGGTCCCCAGGGTGTCAAGCGTAAGCATTTTCAACCACAGCTAATAATTATAACCCTTGCCCTGTAGAACCAAGATGCAGCCAGCAATTAATGATAGGAAGCTATCGGATGGCATGATTAGAGGTAAGGTGTTATATTAGGAAAGATAAACCCCAAAGTATGAGAAACATTACACTTCAACCAAATTCTCTAAAATCCTCTAAACCAAGAATGTCTTCCCAAGTAGCACCTTCACATCAGAACACTACTACAGGTGAATAACTTAATCAGCCCATGCTAGAAAATACTCCTCAAGTCAGCTTAATTACTTGCTTCCCATTCATTCAACAGAAAGTTTGAGAACATGTTTAGCAAGTCTATTTTCTTCCTACTATTTGCTGTAGCAGTGTCTTTGCCCCTGGTTCCTTCTGTTTCACAGACAGCGGGCAATGTCACGCTTCCTCTTTCCAATTCGGGGTTGGACATGCCACTGGTGTAAGATGTTATGAGACTATCCGAGAGAGAGAAGTCTAAACAAGAAAAGGTTTACATAGATTCAAACTGTAAAGACTCCTCCTGTCTAATAACTTGCATGTCATATTTAAGTCTGTATAAGCTGGTAAATCAAACTACACAATTCCAAAGTTTTCCTCCACTGAAGATCTGCAATTGAATTTTGTCAGGATCACTCACGACCCAAATTATATTTCTGTTCCTTAAAATGCACTTACCTCCAGCAGGCTTTGAATTTTAGATTTGTGTGACATTTTTTGTACCAAAAAAATGCACAATTAAGTTTGGTGTACAAACACATGAGCAAGATACTGTGTTTTCAAGTATTGTGAAAAATTTGAGCTATGGTAATGCTGTCTATGTGCATATACTACTGAAGCAAATATAAGTGATCTTAAGCCTTTCCCATCACAGGCTAAATTAAGCAGCATTACCTTAAATTACCATAGCTAAAAGCTATCACAGCAGCATTAGCTAGAGCTCATCTGTTATACAGCGAGTTGACTATATCTGCATGTATGGACAGATAAGAATAAATATTACGCTGTCAGACAGGAAAGATCAGGTACATATTTTCCCTGCCCTACTTGTAACAAAATTAAGCAATATATGCAATTTTAAATTTCAATGTTGTCTTGTACTGTAAGACTTCATTTTTTTTAACAGGAGTTAGAGGCAAAGAAACCATCAGAAAAAGAGGTTAAACACTCAGCTACGGTGCTGGTTTACTGAAAAAGAACCAACTTCTGTTCTATTCTAAAAGCTAACTACAAGGCATCAGTATCATCATTGCTGTTTTCACCCAACAGCCGTAACCAATTAGCTGCAATAAGACAGTACTTGAAACACCCAGTTATGGATAAAAACTTCAATATGTTACTGAGGAAAACCACAATAGTCTGGGCAGAATCCCCACATAGGCACAATCAGCTAAGAAGCAGCATAATTGTGAATACAACTATGTAACTGGATTTAGTAGTAAGTTGCACAAGGTGTTACAACACCTGAATGCTAGGTATAGTTGCCAGGTATATCCTAACACATTTGCAAGCTGGTAATATGAAAAAGAGAAGCTGTCTTGTCAATACTTTTTAAGCTTTGTGGCCAACAGACCTACAAACCCCTCTACGTGGTTTGGGTTTCTTGCTAACCAACATACTCTCTCCTCTTCCTCTTTCATTACAACCTCTCACTGGTAGAAGAGGCAGCTGATACTTGTTTTCTGCACCTCAGGTTCTGAAGATTGGTCAATTTTTTCACTTTAATATCCACAAAAAATAGAATAGGAGCCTAGTCAATAGGTTAAAAATAATTAGGTGCGTGTTTGATTGGTTGGTTGTTGCTGGGTGGTGTTCTTTTTCTTTTTTTCTGAAAAAAGGAAGAGTATGCTAACATTTATAATGTTCGTTTATCATGTTATACATTGAGATTACATGCCCTTACAAACTAGCCCCCCCCCTCCATCTGGAAACCTTTTTTTAAATCGTTCATGAAATCCTGGGTTTGGCCAGGGATAAAACTTTCACTAGTTGAAAGGTATCATACAGAGACCATGCTGGAGAGGGTACAGCAAAGGGCTACAAAGATGATTAGGGGACTAGAACTTCTCTCTTATGAGGAAAGGCTGAGGGACTCGGGTCTTTTTAGTGTGGAGAAGAAGGCTGACAGGAGACATCATATCTTTTCTCACCAGTTTTGCAGCCTAGCTAGCTTGGATGAGGTATGAATTACCACAACAGCTAAAACCTAGCATGGATGTAGTTATACTGACAAAGTTCTTTACTAAAAAAGTAATACCACCTGTTGAATTGAAGTAAGCTGGTGGAAAAGCAGGTTATTTCCACCACAACTAGAGCAGATAGTTCTGTGTAGTGAAGACTTGCCAGAGTACCAACACCCCAAGATGTACTTTCAAAAACCTCCATTGGTGAAGGAGCACACAATGAGGAAACCACAGGTTTTTTAATCTTTGAAGATCTCTTTTCTAATAGGCCAGAAGTTTTTATATTACTTTAAAAAAAAACAGTGGAAAAAATTATTCACAGTTAAGAACAAAAAATACAGGTAAAAGAGGACTAAAGACCGATGCAACTTTTACATTGGTGTTTGCTAAGCATATGATTTCTCAAAAATGGTACATTTTCTAGCTGCTTTAAGTATTTGTATAGTGATTTCACCAAATGTGTGCACAAGTTTAAAAAAATCTTTAAATTATTTTACTGCAAATCACTCTTAAAGACTACATACACTTTGGTGTAGAAAGAACCAAATAAAGCTTGTAAAGACAAAAGCATCTTGCACATTAAGTTAAATTTGTAGTCAAGTGCTTCAGCTTGTAAGCTGCACTTGACAAAGTCTAGGTGGTTAACTGAAAACGTATGCTTGAAAAATGGGGAGTGAGGGTAGCTGTAAATATCTATAGGTCATAATGCATATCTGACCTGCTTAGATACAAAACCAAAACTGCACTATGCAGTCATCTTAGTCCTCTCTTTTTCTTCAAGCACACAATAGGATGAGGCAACAAAAATATGATGACTCCTCAATATAAAAATGTTACATATTTCTAAAAGGAAATGTTTTGATTATTTGATTTCTTACATAACACAATGATCACTAGCCCATACATAAAAATGAATGCAAGTAATATATTCTCTCATCCCATACTTAAAAATGAAAAATAACATACTATGTACTAATTACTAAGACAGCAAAAGCACACAACCAAGGAACAACTCCAATAACAAACTATTCCAAAGAAAAATGCAAAATAGGTTAGGTGATATCATACCCTTAAAAGACACTTTAGACTGAGGTAAACACCATACTACCTGCAAACATGTATTAGTTTTCTTCAGCTTGTCTTTCTATATGTCTGCAACAACTTTTTTTTTTCTGCAGCACTTATAAGCTGTAGTATTTTATTATTGCAGTAGGGTTGTATAATCCCAGAAGGAAAATTTCAGGTTTGAAATATAAATTTAGCCCAGGTATATTATAAATTCTGCAGTTTACAACACAGCAACATGATGTGCTGTTTAGAAATGACCTCTCAACTTCTCAGAACACAATTCATGCTTCTGAGATGGTATTCAGGAGGCTGCGAAACACCAAACAACTGTCTCAGACCATTTTCATTAAAGGTAAATACAGCAAGACCAAACCCAGCACACGTGGCTTTTCGATGAACACCATGAGCAACATAAAGATCAGGTATCAGAGGTGTCAAGATAGAGTTGGAGATGGGAAACTGGAGAGAAACACAGCTTCCTAATAGGTAACAAAACTAGACAGATGACAGGACACTCACAAATTAACTAGCAATAATTTAGGTCTTAAAAATTTGGTTTCCACAGGACCTAAAGTTAGCATTATTGTTGTCTTTTAGAATGAGAGGGAAACTCTCCTTGTACTCATGAAAAAGCTTGCATTTATGCAGAGTAGTCTTACAGGCAGTCTTTGTTTCAATATCATTTTCTCTGCACATTTATTACTGCTGATCCACATACATGAACCTAAGAAGTCTGCTGTCCACTCTCATTTGCTGTAGATCTCCATAGCAAGTACTAAACAGCAGCACCCTGTTCTGGGTTAACTTCAGTCCAAATAATTTCTCCTATACTTTCCATTCTAACTTAGTTTAGAGTCTTTTGGTCCTGGCTTTTACTCAGCTAAACCCAATGGAAGGTGTTCTAAAAAAAAAAAAAAAAGATTTTTTCAAAATACATAGAGTCTTTTGGTCCTGGCTTTTACTCAGCTAAACCCAATGGAAGGTGTTCTAAAAAAAAAAAAAAAGATTTCTTCAAAATACATACAAAACAGCATTAAAGTTGTATTGATAGTTGTTCACTACAGCAGTTGGTTCACTCCTTGCAGCCTGTGGATTAACAGTGGTTCTCATCTTAATGGCCCTCCTCTAGGTATGGCCGAACAATTGAAAAATGAAATAGAAATAAACCAATGTTAAGAACTTTTCAGAAGAGTTCATTTTTCATGAGGATTGAAGGTATGAAAAAACAAAATGTAAAAGCAATGCTATTCACTATCCTGTAAGGCTGACCAGTGACAAGTAGGGGGACCCTTTAGCCTGGATTGGTGGCAACAGTCTCAGAACAAATTTAAACAAAAGTTTCATCATATATTTTCTTTTTAGTACATTAAACTGTCATTCCCTTGGCAACAGATTCTGATTAGTTATATTGCACGTGTTTTTATGAACTGTTTACCAGAACCACCACTATGAACACAAGGAGTTTTCCAGCCAGATCATTTCAGGGTTTAGAGAGGAACACTTTTCTAGATAATGGCTAAAGCCAATTTAGAAAAAAACACCCAAGAAGTTCAAGTTCAGAATGCCACCCTATTTTTAACAAGCATAACATGTATTTGAAGAAAAAAATGAAGTAAGTGTGACATCATTATTCTCAGGAAAAAGGGTTAGTCTATTACTAACTCTAGCTTTTGTTCCATGCTTCACAAATCCTATTTGTGCATTGTAGATTAATACTTACCTGAAAATCTCTTATAGGAAATTCACTTTAAGGTTGCTTGTCTTACTGCATGTGGAGTTACAACAACCGGACAGTAAATCCAGAAGGTTTTACAGTTGACAGAACCTCCACCAAGGCTCCATCTACAGAAATACTTAGCTCCTTTGATTTCATTTTAAGTATCCTATAAAAATGTCTTTAAATAGTAATCTTAGCTTTCCTGAAATCTAAAATTGAAATGCAGTTTAATAATTTCTAAACAGAAAAAATAACCTCGAAAATGTTCATAAAAATACAAGGACTATGTTTACTTTTAAAACAAAAAGTTGAATGTCTTTAAACATCAAAATAATCATAAGCAACTTAAATAGCCTAGTCACACTAACTAGTTTCAAAATGCTGTCTAATTAAAAAGCAAGGATATTCAGAATTACAATCATCAAGCCTTATCTTTAATATTTTATTGATATCAAATATTTACATCCATATGGTTTGCCCATTGTTAAAGGGCCACCAGGATAACATCATCAGCAATATCCACAGACAATAAATATGAATAAACTTAACTTCCTTGCTTGACACAGCTACATATTACAAACTTTTACAGAAACTATTCATGGTTTTACACAATACAAACATGCATTTTTTACATAGTTGCAAATAATGTAATAGTTCTAAATATTTAAAATATCACAATTTTTATTTATAAAGGAAAGCGATTGCTCTTTATTCACTTACCAAGACTGTATTATATCTGTCCTCCAAGTCAGTGATGAACGAAGGAAATGCTGGTTTTGCCAGCTAGTTCAGAACAAACAAAACCTTAGCCCTGGGCTCTTAGCAAGAAAATTGAAATTTTTTTTCAAATAGCAGATATTGTAAAGACCAACATATGAGCTGGTCACCAAGGCTCCCTTTAGAGTCAATGAACAGAAGCATGCACTTCTAGAAGGCTACCTTTGTTGTTTACTATGCAGGCATCTAGTATTGGCCTGATAAATCACATTGCTAAAGCTCTAAATAAACCCCAGTTACTGGGGTGGGAGGAAATCACACATAAATACCTGGCACTCGGCATTTTGTGGTTTTGAGGAAATCACTTAATACAATTTGAATATTGTACTAAAAAAATACTAAGAATAGTAAGATACTACATCCATTACTGTTTGCAATGTATTGTCTAGTAGTAAGTGTCAGTCACAGAAGTGTGATTACTTTCTCATAGCTTTAGCCATCAATTTTTATCCACTTAGAACAGTCACTGACATCTAGTCTTTTCCAAAATACTTTTCTCACTGTGAGCTGAATGTTCCTTTAAGCTGCTCATCTCTCTCTACTGACTATAGAGGGAGCCTGGATGCCTAGATTTTAGGCAGCTCAAGTAATATTACATGAAAACTTTCCCCATTACTAGTACTATTTAACAACGTTTTATACAAACATACATTACAAAATAGCAGTCAAAATAAATGGTAAATTATTAATACGTAAAGCAAAACACACACCTCTTTCAATTAATGCCAGTTATGTCTGAAATATTAATTGGAAAAAATCCAAGTCAATCAGTTTCATAGATAAATCTTTCTCTTGATACTATTTTAGAAGAAAGTGGCTTAATTTGCTGATTTTTTTCTTGGGGAGGAAAAGGGGAGCCAGAAAAGACTCTACATTAGTACTGGAGCTTTGACTTGTTTGAGCTTTACACTCAAACATTAATTGGTTTGTTTCCAGTTTGTACTGTTTAATTAACTTTGAAGTAATCTTTAGTATTAGCTGCAGTGGTCACTCTGGAAATACTTCTGTATGATAGTTCATTTACTTTGGTGCATGTGGTTTATATACATAAGTACACACACATGTACATACATACATATATATATTTGTGTGTGTGAATGTCAAAAAGGAATGCATGCTTATTTTCATTCTTACTATCCTCAGTGAGTGGATACACAACACATTTATAGTTGTTTATATCCAACTTTCCAATGAACTATTCTGGCATTAAGGAAAAGGGCAATTCAGAGATTCCATGTAGTTTGGATACATCATAATATTTGGAAGTTAACAGTCTACAACAGCATTTCATTTCAAGGAACATTAGTCTGATGGGGCAACTATAGTAATTATCTTTAAGCTCAATCTTCACCTGCAGGAATGATACAGAACTCCCAATTGCCAACACAGAAATGAAGCTCTGTGAAAAGTCACAAGCTCGCTGATGGAGCATGTTTTCAAGACAATGCATTATGCACTACAGGAAAGTTCAGGATCATGGGGCTAATAAGAAAAGTAGTAAAACACAAAAGTCATCAGTGAAAGTAAAATTTGGTAGCTGGTTGGGACAAGATAATGTCTTTTTTGATAAGTCACAGTTCACAAAAATGAGAGGGAACTCTAGTGTAACCAAACTTCTGTCTCTTATTCCAGCCCCTGCATCTGTAAGTGTTTAACTGGAAAACACCTCAATCTGTGTTGGCGCAGGTCAAAGGTGTTTAAAGAAGCTGTTTAGCCCTCAGCAAAAGAAAGACTTCTCAATACAAATTAGAGGGGAAAAAAATCCCAAACCCTAGCCTCCCAATATTATTATAGAGTGTCTTTCTAACTAAATGCATTTCAAACTGTAAAAATTACTTTCACGCTATGGGAGAAATAAATGGGGGAATGATTCTTATCGTATTCAGAACTTGTTGCCATGAAGGCTTGCAGGTGGCTTGTCTTGTGCCTCAGTACAATAAAAATAATTTGTTTCCAAATTCAATGGGCTACGTCTTAATTTTCATATTCAAAGCATTCTTATAAACTTCAGTTTACAAGCGCTTAGAAATAGCAGCAGCAGTCTGATCTGGTGTAGTAAAAATGCAGTAGTAAAATCTTATTTACATTGGCAGTGACATAGTAAAATAATCTAGTAACATTAGAAGAATCACCCTTATTTCACTTAACATTTCAAGTTATTCCAGATCTTCTTCCCTGCCAACTCATATACAAACATGCTACTTAAGATTTAGTTGTTGCCTACCTTCCTCCTTTGAGACACGCTGAGGGCAGCAAAGTCATTAAACAAGGATGAATTTGGTGAAGTCAGTGGATCTGTAAAAAGAATGTAAACCAGCATGTTATATACCTCTAATATTAAAGAGAAATTTCACATTTTTAACTTAGTTCTGTACGGAAAAAATCCTTTTGACAAAACTAAGTTTAGCAACCACACAGCTAAAAAACACAGCATTTATTAGATTCTGTGTAACTGCTCAATTGAAATGGAGCTCATTAGCAGAAGTTAGTAAGTTTAATTGCTGTTGACATTATGTAATGTCCATCTAACATTTCAAAGCCTTCCTTCTTCAGTTACCTGAAATTAGTAATCTTCTGTTAACACAGTCTTACAAATAATGACGTGGATCTTACTTGTCCTGTCACTATTCTCCACAAATTTATATCAGAACTAAAGGCAGCAAAAGTCCACATTCTATTAGTAGCTTTTTATTGCTTTTTCTTTATCCCTAGGCATCGCTTAAAGAGTTGAAGCATCAAAAACTGAGTAACAATCACAGATCCAACTTAAAACTCCAAAGTCCATGGGCAGAGACATCAAATTAGCAGATATCTACTAGCTGTAAACATTGGTGCTTTGATGAAACACTTTCTTCAATTAATCAATACTCCTCAAAGGGGCAATCTACAAGTGAAGCACAGCTTAGGGAGTTGAGGGGGGAAGAAAAGAACCTGAAAAACAACAGAATTTAAATTGCTTTCCAAAAGTCAGTCTGGTTTCTCTCCTTCGCATGCATCACCATCACTATTTGGCCTGTCACAGACAAACTCTGACTGCATTTAAAACTGGAGACCTCCACTGCCTTGAATAGCTAATTGTTCGGTGAGACAAAAGAAGTAGAATTAATCACAAAACCTACTGGAAATGAACCAGGCGGAGGAAAAAAATAAACCCAACAAATTTCAACTTTCAAGCAAGTTAATTTTATAGTAGTTACTACCATGCTCAAAAAATTATAACCCTTCTTACTAAGTAGACTAGCTGCAGGGTCAGACACACAAATGGATTTCTAGAACATCATTTACACAGCAATTTTTAGAGCAGAAATACATTTTAAACATATGTCCTTGCCATAAGGGAGTAGTATCCTCTTCTTTAAAGAAGTTAGTTTGACAGCTATAGCTGAAATAATCTGCAATGGTTGTTATAATATGGAAAGCAATTCTGAAAAGTACCTTACAGAAGTTCAATACACCCTCCACAGTGATTTAGTGAGTATGTTGGCCTGCACTATGGAGACACTTTGGTTGGTTGAAAACCATGCTCCCAATATCAGAGAAAAAAAATATAAGATGTAAAGTACTGCTTATAGGACAAAACTTAGTATATATTAACATCATCAGTTATGTGATACATTTCACAAAACCCATAAAGCCTAAATTTAAGAATAAAAACTTGTACGTTCGTTCCACACAATAACTTATTTGAAAAGCACAATTAAAGGGGATACTACTGTGGAGCAATGTAAATGTTTATTTAAGCCATCAGTGCTTTACAGTGGATATCCAAACTAGCATTTCACTTGAAGCGACAAGTCCAATAATGATTTTTACTTTTATTTTTTCCCCCCACTGGAACAAAGAGAAGCCTAAAAATTTATGACTTCAGCTTTGGATTACAAGTAATGAACCAATACACTATTGCTAAAAAATAAAATTTTACTGCATCTCAAATCAAGCCAGAGGAGGAAAAAAGCTCCTTTAAGTCTCAGTTTTACCAAAGTAAATTTCTTAAATTCTCAAATATACTTTTATACATATTACTTTAAAAGTACTTACCATGGCCTGCGTACTGCTTGGCACTGTCATTGAGAAGGCTAGGGGAGCTGCTGCTATTTGTCATTCTCTGCAAAAAAAAGACAAAAGTGTACACCTAAAATAAAGCTGTAAAACACTAAGTGCTGTCATTAGGGATGACATTTAGAAACTTTTAAAAACAGACTATGAAACCTGTGCTTACACTCCGTGTAGTAAATACAGTCAAAGACAGTAAAATATAGTGTTTTGCACTAGAGAAATGCGACCCAAAATTTACTGTATACCAAAACAAAACACTATCTTCATTAATTTCTTCTAACTTGGGAGGGTCTACCAAACCTACGGTTCTCTTTCTGTATGTCGTCAAAATTTTGGATAAGCCAATTGCTTATCTCCTTTAAACATTCTTTCACACTGTACTTCTGAAACAACTCCTCCCTTTATTATACGCTATCATCACAACCCGAAACTTTCCAATGAAAAATACTCAAATGGGTGTAGCATTTGATAGATTCTTTTTAAAAAAAAAAAGAACCTTTTGAGACCTTTCAGCAAAATCACACAATTTTTGTAAGCCAGCAGGATATCTAAAACCCTCTCAACGTTCCTCTTAGGATCCACCTGCTACTCCTACTTTCTTCTAGAGATATGGGCTAGCAACAAACCGGACTTTAACAGAGACATTTAAGAGTCTCTTCTTACTCATGCTTATTGTTACATTCTTTGACCAGCCTCTCAACAAGAAACGGTGCAGGAAGAAAACAAATGCAAGGCAAGGTCAGGAAGCATTTCTCCATCGCTGAGAGAGACGACCAGTAATTTGTTAAAATATTCCCTGTCATGCTTTTGGCCTACTTTTGGCCTTGCTTTTGGGTCTCCTGGCCAAGTTCCAAGTGCTATTCAGTGGTGAAAAGTTTTGAGATCCCTTCAAATAGACCGTTTGCATGCAGCCTCTGCATTACCGGGTGAGTGTACACCACCACAAACAGGCCATTTTGTGCCAGCTGGCCCTAAGCATCAGGGAAAGTTTCCAGGCATATTTAATTTAGTAGTCTAGACACAGACTAAGACTCAAAACTGGTCACTGGAGTTGCTCTTTATGCTCACATTTTTCCATGGCCAATCTCAATGTTGTGGGCAGAGGGCAAGAAGCTGTTATACTTCAATGTCATTTCATCTATTTCTTGACCAGAAAGATCAATATTCTGGAGTAAATTTGATAAAAACAGAGGAGAACCAACAGAAGCTGGAGTGTCATCCAGTATGGTAGAACTGTAAATCTACTGCAATTCAAGTTTCTCAACATTTGCGGTTTTCATACTACCACTGACTTCACCAGAAGTTGCAGCTTTTAATGCTTGCATCTAAAAGAACAAACAGATTGTGTGAAGTAGAACAGCAAGAAAGTAGAACTTGCAGAAAGTAAGTTGTAAAAAATAAATAAATAAAAAAGTAGCCTGCACTGTTAGAAAAGTAACTTGAAGAAAGTTTTGGTAAAATTTAGGTACTTCAGCAGGTATCTTCAAATGTCGCCCTCTCAACTACATGCTCAATCCCTCAATGTTTTATTCCCCCATGCACTATTTCCATTATTTGTGTTCCGTTGCTACAGCAAACTTTCTACAATCATTTAGGCTTTTCTGATACAACTCTTCACTCAGTATGAGTACGTAGTACTATATGATGCAGAACTACAGTACATGCAGATGTCCTAGAACAATATGTGTAATAATACATGCGTAATATTTACACATGTAAATACCATGTAAACCTTCAGCTTTTTCAAGACCTAAATGATGAGAGCTGACTGCTATATGCTCTTTCCTTATTTTGATGCCATGTGTCTCACGCTCCTAAATACACTGAACTGACACAACGTTACTCTCACTAAAAGGTTAGTTCGCACCAATTAATTCTTTAAACAAAAGGGAAACCTCTAGTAAAACAAAGTTTACTTATTTCTAGAAAACAAGATAACACTTTGGAAAACGCATACTAAGTTAACAATCTTGCCCAAGGTCAGGGACAGTCATGCTACTGTCCACTGTCATCAAAATAGGAATACATTAAAAGAAATTATTTCTGGATTACAGTAGCTCAACTATTCATCCATCATATTCCCTTCCTGATTAAGCAATGGAGAGAAGTTAAATAGTTTTTCATAAATACTTGAAAACCATACCTATTATGTGATTTTATTTCTTTTTTTTTGGCATTCAATACATCCACACTGATCCTTCTAAGCGGAAATAGTTTAGGAAGAAATTTCCCAAAGGGAACCTTTCAGATATGCACAAAATTTGTCCAGGATTGGATTTTATCCATTTATATTGGGTAAAAACAGTGTTAATGTCTATTTATATAATTCATATTTTCATAGTAATTTTAATGCTAATTTAACAGTCAGAATGGGAATAAACATGATATTGAGATCTAGGCTGGTATCAAAGATGGTTAAGCACATGGCTTAAAAGTGGAACCAAGCACTTTCATACCACCAATGTTCTCCCTCTTCAAGTGCAGGAGTTAAGCACTCATTCAACAGACTTACAATGTGAATAGGTGACCGCAATGATGAAAATCAGTGCTGGTATGATTACTAAATACAAAACATATATATGCACAAGACAGATTGCAAGCAAACACATTGTTCAGGATTCTGAAAGCACAGGGCAAACAAAGCCTATAAACATCAACTGTGCTTTTACTACATCAAGTCTTGTTCAAGGTGCAAATGTATTTTACATGAACCAGGATTCTGAAGAACCAAAGCTTCTCTCGCTGATCTTGGGCAGCTCTTGCTTTAAATGCTTGTCAGCTATACCTTAAATGAGGTTAAAAACCTCCCCTTCACCACTCACTTTCATGAATTTTTCATTTTGCTCACTTTTATTACACATCCACAACCTTGTTACCTTAACATTATTCATAGAAGTCCTGCATGTAATCAGTAAAGGATTTTTTAACTGGTTTAATATTAAAATTTCTAGCACACCCAAAAGCATTTAGTCTTAATGAAGGCCATTCCTGTATCTGATTTTTACCAAGTCAGGATGAAAATGTCTTAAAAGAAAAAAAAACATGAAAAGGAAATGCATATACTATTTGTTATTTGTGTTTTCCAGAAGGCAGTTTTGATTTTAAATTACACTTCTCAATCTCTTCTAATGGTGTTCAACTATTTTTCATACAAATTCAATTTCAAGAAGAATGCAATCAGAAGAACTTCAAGCCCAAAAGATGAAAGCTTCAGAAAGGTAAGAGCAACCATTAACAAGAGAAGAAAACAAACTGTTCATTCCTATTAAGCCTGCGAGGCAAGGCAAGCACACACATTTGAGAGCTTCAGACTTTTTTTCAGTACATCATGACTTTCACCATATGGAAGTTAATATAGAAAGACAACTTTGTCATAAGCAAGGGCCACACCAGTGTCACTCAGTTCCATACAAACTCCTTTTCTTTGCTTGCTGATTGCTATGATTTATTGAGGTTCTTTAAGCACTAGTTAAAATTCAACTAGGCTGACTGGCATACATCCTGCCCCTCTCCCTTTAAAGGCATTAAAAAGTTGATTCTGTTCACATCTCAAAAGCAAGCTACAGCAGAACAAAACTGTCACATTCATCCCTGTCCAAGGATTTAACCTGAGGCTTCAGCTTTCGAGTTCTTCCACTGTTGAACCTTCCATCAGTAACAAAAGACAGGCTTTTTAATTTCATGGGAAAACTGAGAAATAAAGTTTTTCAGAATACTGTGTTAATCCCTGAACATTCCAGCAATTAAGTTACAGAGGGGAATATGCTTGTTCAGAAGTTTTTACTCTTTCTTCAAGCACTAGAATTAAAGTAACTCATCTCCTCTTAGGAAAAGTCTGTGTGAACTGGCACTGTGTCAAAAATGAAACTTTTGTCAAAGTGAGTCATTACCTTACCTAGATGTAAGACAGCCTATTGCATACTAATACTTCCTTTTCAAAACCACCGCAAGTTAAGGTCTTTTTTAAAAAAGTATGATTTTCACACAGACTTTAAGATAACACTGACAACAGATCAACAGCATCACCATAAAAATAATTTCCATATTAGGTTGCTGTTTTAATAATAGTTTTGAGGATTAGATACTTCTTACAGAGGCGTTGTGGTGGGAAGGGACCGTTGGCCAACTAGTCCAGCTCACCTGCCCAAAAAAAGCCAACTAGACCTGGTTGCCCAGGACCACATCCAGACAGCTTTTGAATATCTCCAAGGATAGAGACTCCACCACTTTCCTGGGTGACCTACTCAGTCACCTACACAGTGAAAAGTGCGTTTCCTGATGTTCAGAGGGAACCTCCCATGTTTCAGTTTGTGACCGTTGCCTCTGGTCCTGTTACTGGGCACCACTAAAGAGACCCTGACTCCATCCTCTTTGCACCGTCCCTTCAGGTACTTATCATATACATGGATAAGGTTCCCTGATCCTTCTCTTCTCCAGACTGAACAGCCCGACCTCTCTCAGCATTTCCTCACAGAAGACAAGCTCCAGTCCCCTCATCATCTTCGAGGCCCTTTGCTGATTCTCTCCAGTACATCCATGTATGTCTCTCATGCTGAGAAGCGAGCACTCCAGGTGTAACCTCACCAGTGCTGAGCAGAGGGGAAAGATCACCTCCCTTGACTTGTTAGCAGTGCTTTACCTAATGCAGCCCAGGACACCTTCCACCTTCTCAATACTTCTGGGTGCAGTATGCTAGGAAGAGAAGTGTTACAAGAAATAGTCCCACCTTCTAAAGACATACACCACCTTGCCTCCACCCATCAAGGTTCAGTAGTGAAACCCAAAATTGTGGCTGCACTTAAGACAAGGCTTCTTTGCTTTCATCTCCCTTCGCTAAAGTATATAGTTACAAAATCCTTTACAAAATTCTCATCAAGATAAAGTATGAATAAAGCTTTGCTGCACACAATTACATCTAATTTTACATAAGGTAAGTCTTGTAATATAAGCTAAGTAAGGGTTTTTACTTTGTTCTCTACCTCTTACTTTTCCCCAAAACACATAAGAGATGGCATTTGTTCCCTTTGTCTCGATATTCCCTGACCTAAC